GGCCTCTCAGAGTGCTAGGATTACAGGCGTGAGCCACTGCGCCCGGCCTAAGCCTTTTTCAATCTCTTCTTCATAGCAAGCTGAAATCTCACTGGGCCTAAGTCAACCAGCTTCAACTACACAGAACAAGTTTAATATCGTTTCCTCGAGAACATCCTTCAAATGCGCATGTAAAGTTGCCACATCTCTCTTTTCTTTTAACAAATATACTAAAATACTGAAATGCAGTCTGTGACTGCAGTCCCTGTACCTATCTCCAGGGTGTGAGGGAAAGGACAAGGGGAGGCAAAATCGACTTATTAAAAGGGCTGCAGGTAGGATGTTCGGGAGGGGATTACCTTAATGCCGTCTTCACCGGCTAGTCCAGGGAAGCCCCTGCTGCCCTTGGCTCCCTAAAGAAAAGAACAGAAGGAGATGGGTCAGAAGGCACGCTAATCAGTTATTAAAAAAGGATGTGCTCAGATGACCCCTCCTCTCAGTGAAGGTGTGACACTATGATTCTCGAGTGTAGTTTTCAAAAGCTGTAGCTTTTTGTTTGTTTATAACCACGTAGCGACTCTCAAAAATCCGTCTTCATCTAGTGGGACGGATGTTTCACTGCATCCATGGGCCAAATCAAGTCTTTACCTCACTGCCAGGGAAGCCAGGGGCACCATCTTTTCCAGGTTTTCCCTAAAACAAAACCAAAACCAAAACATGTAATTTAATAAATATGGATAATTTTACAAACATGGAACCCTTAAATGATACAATCATCGCCTCTTGACCTCAGGCAAGAAAGCCTGAGTGAGGCTCCCCTACCAAGTTTGGAAGCAAAAACGATTAATCACAGAATTCGCGATGTCCCTCCCTTCCCAGAGAAGGCAGAAGCCAGTCAGAAGGGGAAGCGAGAGAGTCAAAGGAAGGAAGCAAGGAAATCGACAGCTAAACCTAAACTGGATTTGATGCTCCTAATCTTAAGCTTGGAAGGAAAATCAAGGAAGCGCTGAGCTGAGAAGTGAATGAGGAAGGCTAGAAAGAGGCAGGTGTTCACAGTCAACTTATTTATTTGAAATGTGGGTAATCTCCTGAAGCCCAGGTGTGTCTATATTTAAATGTAAGTATAAATGAAATATTGTGGTATCTAAACAGACAGCTTTTGGATTAACTATTATGGTGTTTACTCTTCCTGACAGAATTAAAAAAAATCATGTTCATTAAACATTTTTTCTTTTTCTTTTCTTTTTCTTTTTTTCCCAATATATAATTTTTAGAGTTTTTACACAATGTATGTGTTTAAATCTTTCCAAAATGGATCTGGGTTGGGTAGTGGGCCCCTGTTGTTTCTGTCTCCTGCGCACCGTACTTCTGGGCACACGAGGCCCCGTTTCTTTTGGGGAGCTGCTCTTCCCCCACTCCGGGTCGTTCTGGTGGGGCTGTCAATCACAGCCGCTGCCCCACTGGCCTGGCCAATCATAGGACTTTTTCCCCTGGCCACGGGCATTTTTCTGGAGTGAGACATATGACCCAAGCTGGGCCAATCAGATTAATTCTTTGGGATTTTATATATGGGTGCTGCCTTTCTCCTTGGATGCCATTAACCTGCAGTTGTCTGCTGCTACACCTTGGTCTTTCTCCCCGTCTCCCCTGACATCTGCCAAAGGAGAGAATGAGGCTGATACACAGAGAGAAGCAGAAGTGGGATGAGAGAGTCCTCCCATATTTCCAGCTCTGCCTGTTTTAGTCTTGAACTTCTCAGAACAAATAAATCCCACCTCCCAAACCTTAAAAAAAATTTTTTTTTTTAAATCTAAGCTAGTTGGGCATCTTAATCTTGCAACCTAAAGAGTCCTGAGTCCTGACTAATAAAGCCTGCGTATGACACTGAATTTCTAAATTTACCTGTGGGCCAGGTTCTCCGGGAGCACCCTTTTCAGATCTGTACGATTCTCCAGGCGGTCCCTGTATCAATTAGAGCTATGTCAAGTTTTATGAATTATTGATTTTAACTTACATTGATTTTTATTAATTTGTCCCTGCTTTTTCTTTTTTTTTTGAGGCAGAATTTCACTCTGTCACCCTGGCTAGAGTGTGGTGGTGTCATCACAACTCACTGCAACCTCAAAGTCTTGGGCTCAAGCAATCCTCCTGCCTCAGCCTCTTGAGTAGCTGGGACTATAGGTACGCACCACTGTGCCCAGCTAATTTTTCTATTTTTAGTAGAAATGGGGTGTCGCTCTTGCTCAGGCCGGTCTCAAACTCCTGGCATCAAGTGATCCTCCCGCCTCGGCCTCTCAGACTGCTAGGATTACAGGCGTGAACCACGGCGCCCAGACTAATCTGTCCCTTCTGATTATTCTGCCATTTAAAAAAAATGTTTATATGATGGGGCATCTAAGAGGGAAATCTTAGTTATGCATATTAATTACAGAACAGATCTAAAAAAGCAGATGCTGGAGACGCCATAAGTTGAGCAGCATGGGCTGCATGTAAAACAGTGCAAGGATTTGTCTAGAAGTGGCTAAAAGATACTTCTAGTGTATTCGTGACCTCTGAGGTCAAATGTTACCGTGTTTTAGCCAATGTTAAGATTTAGGGGTAAAACATACATGAGAGTGAATGCTAAGGTTCTGCTTTGCACGTTGTGGGAATAATATGACTCTGAATGACCTACTGTGGGTCCAGGATGTCCAGGTTTGCCCATCGCGCCTTTGTCTCCCTTCTCCCCCTTGAGGTCCTGCCAAAAAATAACAAAAAACAATTCGACATTGTTACCAATGGATCAAACGAGATTTCACTGATTATACTTGGAAAAGTCCTCTTTCTGGTCAATAATCTGGATTTACAAACTATTAATGTGCCCCATGTTAACACAACCCAATAGACCTTCCCGTTTCTCATATTTCAAATTTTATACCTATGAACCCACTGAAACAATAGGCCAACTTTTTTTTAAAGACCGTATCTTGTGGCTGAAGCTACACTAAACTAATTTCATTCCTGAATCAGTTGTCTATAAGCACAATCAGATCATTTCTCATGTATTTTACTTTCATTTTAAATACACTAAAATTATTTTCATTGGGATAAATTATTTTCTGTTTAAGTGTTATAATGGAGATTTGATTCCTTAATCGGGTTTGTTTGAGCCCTTATCACATTTTATTGATTATATTTTTCCCAAAGTGAGTTTTCTCTTGAGGGCATCATTTTATTCAAACTCAATTATTTTTCCTGGCTCATATTGTCGAGAGCCAGATATTGTCAATGTAGTTTTTTCTATCATTTTTCAGACAATAAAGTTTTAGACTTTATGAATTTTATTTTCGTTGATTGCCTCAGAAAAGTTCAGTTATTTTCCTCAGGCCAATTTTTTCCAGTCTTCAATGTGAGTTATTATTTTGGCAATGTCAAATTTTACCACGTTTTGTTTTAACTCTTATTAGTTTTGTTTGATCGTTTATACCATTAAAAATTAATTACATTGGAGGGTGATGGCTAAGGGGGTTTCTTTCTGGCGTGATGAAAATGGTCTAAAATTGCTGCAATGGCTGCATAACTCTGTGAATAAGCTATTAATAAAAGCCATTGAATTGTATGCTAAATGAGTGAATTTTATGGTATGTGCATTATATCTCAATAAAACTGTTGAAAATTAATTATAACTAAGACCTATGAACTGTATACTTTAAAAGGGCACATTTTATGGTATGTGAATTATATCTCAATTAAGCTGTTATTTGAAGGAATTGATTATGAGTTTAAACAAGAAGGATGGTTTGTGTTTATTTCTTAGTTAATTCATAAGGAAATTGTTCGCTTCCTCTTCACTGCCTCATTCCCCTTCCCAAACATCCCAGGATCAATCTCGTGTCTAGGACTGTGTGCATTGTGCATTCATTCACTTCTTCTGAGCATTCGGTTCAGTCCCATACCCTGGTGCTCCTGGCTACCCCAAGCTGGGAGCAAAAAGCAAATGTTAGTGTCTAAATGACAGGGCCAGAGTGTCCTTGGTGAGAAGTGGAGGCTGCAGCATTCATGGAGTTACAATGGCAGGGTGGAAATGTCCCCTGTGGTCACGGTGCCCCTCCAGCCATATATTGAGGTCACTACCATCCAACTGGATCAGACCCACACACCACCATGCTATCACTCATTCAGAATTACTCACTGAATACCCACTCTGCGTCAGGGACAACGAGGAAACAGGGATGTGAGGGTGAACAAAGTCGGGCTCAGGCTCGGCCTCCAAGAATCTTGGAAGCCACTTGCCTCAGATCTTCCCCATCTGATATTTGCAGGTTTATGAGTGAAGGATGGGGAAGGAATGGATCCCGGAAGTTCAAGGGCCTGGGCTGAGCTGGGCTCAGACAACGGGGTTTGTGAAAGAGGTAAGGGGTTACAGGGACTTCATCCTAGAAACGGGAAGGTAAGACCCTAACAAGAAAATTCCAGAGTTACCGTTCTGTTTTCTGGGCCAGTAAAGGTCACAATAACTGTTCCTGGCGGTCCAGGGGGTCCCGTTAATCCTTTCACACCCTAAAGACAAATATACCCAGGAATGAGAAACTAAACATCATCAAAATTTCAACTTTACTATGTTTGAAAGATTACTTTTCCCCTTTAGTTCTCATGCAAGAAGACAGAGCAGATGAAAACACGTTAATCTGAACTTGGCTAGTGAACAAATGGTATAGGCTGTCATGCTCTAGAACTTAAAGTATTTTGCCCCCTGATAAAGCACAGTATTTAAATTACCCGCTCTCCTTTCTGTCCTATCATGTTGTCACCCATGTGACCCTGTAAGGAAACACAAAACCAAATTATTTTAAAAAAATATATGAATAAAAAGTCTAAACCCATTAAAGTTCCAAAATTTATAATTGAGCATTTACATTTTAATCTTAATTTTAGAATCATAAACGTTATTTGAGCTATTTCTTAGAGCAGAACATCAGTACGTTTCTTTTAAAGGAGGAAATATTGGGGTGCAGAAAGCTTAAGGGATTCACTTAACGTGGTGAATGACGGCACAAGGTGGTGTGGGGTAGGAGAGGGGCCCAGCTCAGAGCACAGTTTTTTCTGGCTCAACCAGTAGCTAATTTTGGTCCCGCTGGTTGGGTACTGAACTTCCTAATGCTCCCGTTTCTCATCTTAAAAATAAGAAGGATGGGTAACCGAACTTCAGGGTTCTGAAATTCAAAACTTAATAGAGAATCTAATAATAGAATTCAAGCTTCCTGACTTCACTAGGAATTTAGTGACATCAGATAAGTCTAATGTGAATAGTTTCTCTTCACTAATGATGGCCAATCCATCATTTCAGCCAATATCTTCTTGCTTTCTTGCTCTTGAGTATGGAGATCTTCCTCTCATTAGCCCGAAAGCTGTAGAGGAATCAAAACACTTTAAACCTCTGCTCTGCTTTTTACTGTTGAGGGACAAGTCACTCAACTTGAACCTCTCCACCTCTCAGGGTGTGTGTGTGTGTGTGTGTGTGTTGCACACAAACATTAATGAAATACAAGTGGAAGCACCTTGGAAAGTACCCTATGAACGGGGCCACCTGGTACTAAGTAAGAGATACCATGGTTAGGACTAATTTCCTGGTGGGGCTCAGCCTCACTCAACATTTTTATACTAAAACTCACAATTGATCTTTTTAATAGAAACACATGCAAGACTCTGTTTCATGAGCACATAAATAATCATCTTTTATTTACTACGTAAAATCAGGTTTGTTTTGCGATGCAGCTCACTAAAAAAATTCACAGGATAAGTATTGGGTGATCAGTACGATTATCAGGAATGGAAAACCTATGGATTAAGAATCCTTGGGGGTTTTTTCCAGATAAGGAGCTCCTTATAATTGAACTAAGATTATTTGTATCAGAGATCAAGTTAGTGAAATACAGGGAGAAGAGCTAAGAGCTGCTAGCCACCTTCCCCTCCCTGCTGGGAATGCAGGTGAGTTCTGCAGAGGTGCCCGACAGTGACCCACATCAAGTAGCGGACCAGGTTTGGCTCTTGGGATTGGTTAGGGTGTTCTAGCTGATACAATATATGAACTGTGGCCTACCTTAGGTCCTGTAGGTCCCATGGCTCCTGGAAAGCCCTAGAAAAACCCACAAATTAAAATTACAGCAGGAAATACACCCAGCTAGAAAACTCTTTTTAAAACTTTTTTCTATAATTAATCAATTAGTTTACAGAGTCTATAGCAGTGGTGACTTCATACTCACAGCGAATCCTGGGGGGCCAGGTGGGCCGACAGGCCCAGGAAAACCTCGAGGGCCTGGCAAACCCTTTAAATTAAGAGATGGATAAGAGTAAGTTTAAATTTACTTCTCACCTAAGAACAATGTCCATTAATTAAATGCATCCAAATATTTTAATAAAATCAGAAGAGCGCAACGCTCCCTTTTAACTGGCTGCGGTTAATTACAATAAACGCCAAAAAGTGTGTTGCTATGTTTAACAGGCTGCCAGGACCATCCTGGTGACACTGTTTCCAGGAAAATGACCAGAGCAGTTGCTTAGTTGCTTTACTTCAGAAGTTTTCAAAATTTTGCTCTTCTCTCTCTTTCTTCCTCTCTCACTCTCCTTCTCCCTTTCTCTTGTTTTGGCCAACAATGTTCCTACCTTAGGGCTTTCCACCTGCTCTCCTGCAGGTGTCCTCTCTCCCCAGACATCGCCACAGCTCACTTCCTCTCCCTTTTCTTATCTATGTGCAATTGTCACCCTTTCCACAGGCCTTTCCTGCTTACCCCAAGTTGTAACCCACCTTCGACCCAGACACTTCCCATTCTGCATTCCCTGCATTGTTTTTATCCTTAGCATTGGTTACTATCTAACATACTAATTTACACTTTTTTTCTGTTTTGCCCACTAGATTGTAAGCTCTATGAGGGCAGGAATATTTAAAATAATTTTTTGGCTGATTTGTACCCTGCTGTATCCCTAGAGCCTAGAAATAGCCTCTGGTACATAATTGGCGTGTAAACAATATTTCTTGTATGAATGAATGTACCAGCATTGTGTCTTCAGCACTGTCAGGATGACTACTACACAGATGACAATCAATACTAACTACCCGCTACTAACCCCTCTTCCTGGATCCTCTGCCTTCAGCATCTAAACTTGTAAATGTTTCCGAAGCAAAAAAGCAAAAGCCACTCTGCACTTTTGCAGCTCCTAGTCTGGCTTTGCAGCTCATGGTCAGTGGGCACAGCTCACCATGCAGGAGTCCAGCAATCTCAACTCGAACTCTGACTCACTTAGGCAAATATCCCATCTCTACCCTGGAACTTCCACATATTATTCTGAACTAAGTTAAAGTATTTCTAATTAATTAACCTGTACTTGTGGTTTAGGTCTACCAAAAGGTCCTTCTAAATTACAATATAGAGCACACACAACCCCAAAAGTAGTTGTGTCTCTTGGTATCCATTCTGAATTACCCTCAGGTGACATGCATATAGATCAGCAAAGCAAATCATTTAACAGGAGAAAGTTGCATTTAAATAAAACCTTTTTATTTACTATCATGCAAATTTAAAAATAGAGCTGTTATTTAACACTACAATTTTAAATGATATTCAACGTGTCATACAACTCCACCCTTAATTTTAACGAATACAGATTAAGTGCAACCTAACTATTCCCTGCATCCTCTGCAATTCAGGAAAGCTTGTGTAATTGGGAGTTGAGAATAAAAGACGTACACAAAATCGTCTTTGTATATCAGCATCATGTAGTTTCTTATAACAAGGTGAATGCTAATTTGTAAATAGAATAAAATGAAGGTCTATTTAAAATGTTCTCAAGACAATGAGGAAAACATATGGGGGAAAGAGATGGGAGGATAGAGAGAGTGAGAGAGACTAAGAGTGATAATACCTGGGATCCTGGTGTCCCTGGCAACCCGGGGTCACCTTTTGCATTAAGTTCCATTTCTTCTCCTTTAGCAGGGGTGCCCTTGAAAATGAAGAAGTTCATCAAACATTATCAGTGTTATGTTTTCAAAACCCTTTAAATGCTTATTCAAGGTCATACTGCTTCAAGGATAAAAGTACTTTCTGGAATATATACTTAGAGAAACGATTTAGGATTCTGTAGATATTCCGTTATGAAGAATTCAAAGCATTTTCATATTTTCTAAAGTTGAAATTTTACTGTGAAAAACTTTCAACAGAAGAAAGACACAGGGATAATAAATCATTTTCAAGACACTAAAATTAATGGCAATCCCTGACCTAGAATGTGGGGTCCTGAGCATGAGGTCAGTTCCCTTCTCTTCAACCCTATTTCCTTAAATGATGATACAAAACCTGTATTCTTAAGACTCATTTATGACAAGAGCCAGAAGGAGCTCATCAATAGGAATAAATATCATGTCCAATTATTACAGTTTCTGAATGAATAAGGTCTAGAACATTATGAGATCCAATTTGTGATGACTTACATCTCATTATTTGATAGAAGTACTAGAGATAGAAGTAATTAGAGATTTTCAATCACAATATTCTACCAATGACTTACCTTTTGTCCTTTCAAACCAGCAGCACCCTGGGAAAACAGCAGCATATTAACAACTGGAGGCAACTCAAATACACACACTCCTACACTGTCCTCTCCGCTGTTCTGTATCCCTGCTGTACACTTCTCACTGCCTTTCAAACATGCTCACGTCTCTCCCATTTAAACAAAGTCCCCCCTTAATCTTTTACCCCTTCCCCAATACCACCCGGTCTCTCCTTCATCTCCCCAGCAAACTTCCCATTTTGTTCATCTCCTGCTCATTCCTCAGTTCCAAATCTGCCTCCTGGCTCCATCCTGCCACGGAATTATCCCTTGCTAAGGTCAGAAACGATTTTGATGTTGCTTAAACCAACGCCAACCTGTCAGTCTTCATTTTACTGGACTTCTCAGCAGCATCAGGGAGCTGTCTTCCTCTCCTCTACTGAAATAGATCTTTCCTGGACTTCCATAATGCACCCTTCTTGGCCTTCTACCACCAGGGCTGCTCCTCCTTCACAGACTCATTCTCCTTGACCTAGACCTTACCCCTGGTGCTGTGTCTCAGTTCTAAGCCCCTTTTCTCCTCACTCTCACTCCTTGAGTCATCACCAGCCCTGGTCTGTCCTCTGCGCAAATCCAAGTTGTGCATGTCCACTTGGATGGGTCAAAGTCTCAAAGTCTAAACCTGAACTCACAATACCTGTGTTCACCCATTCCTTAACTATTAGTTGAATGTCTACTATTGCTGCATCAGACTTCCCCAAAGTCATGACAGATTTGTGTACACAGCCATATGGAGGAGACTACTCTTACTTATGCTTTTTATCTTTGATGGGGAGTTCAAAATGCAAACCTACCGGGATCCCTGGGTAGCCTCGTGTCCCTGGAAGTCCTGGAAACCCTTGCTCACCCTGGAAGATATACAAAGTTTGTCATTCTTAGTTGCTCTAGAATAGCCTATTCAGATTTTCCTTATTTCTCTCTTCCAGCCTTGCAGTGGTAAATCTAGACAAAGTAACCTAAATTCCTTATGGCTACTGGGTCATGAGGCTGAAGACCACAAAACCATTATCTTAATTAAAAACAGGATTAGAATACTGTTTCTCAAATTGTGCATAAATGGCAAAGTCTATTTACGCCAAGAACTTTTTAATTGCTGTTTCTTTCAAAGTTTAGTAATTAGTTCATTCATAGCCACCATTCTGGGGAAAAGGAGAGCTCAGTTAGAGAACAAAAGGCTAGGAGTGAACATTGAAAACATCAGTCATTGCTTTCCAAAGACTGATTTTGCACTCAAGGCCTTAGTGTCTGATTTATATACACAACCTCAGATGAAAATAACCAGTTGGGCCCCCAGCTATCTTTCTGTGGGAGAACTTTCCTAAAAGACAATTAGAGAGCAAGGAATAAGAAGAAAGAAAACAGGAAGGTTCCTGGTTCCAAATCATATTGCTGGTCCTGGCTAAAGGAATGTTTCAAGGAGGGCCTATCTCTATCTCCTTGCTATTTCACCTTGATTCATTCATTCAGAAAAGGACTCATTAACCATATTCTGTGCAAAAACTACATACCTTAGAACCATTGCATCCTGGCAACCCGGCAAGTCCATAAGGCCCAGCATGGCCCGGAGTGCCCTGAAAGGAGAGCAAGTCCCAGTGAGGAGACATCACCACAAGGAACAGCATAGAATCCACAGGAACAGATGGGCTAATTCCAATAGCTACTGAAGTAGAAATGGTAGTTTAAATAGTTTAGTAGTAAATTTAAATCCTTGTTTTAGATATAATTTCAATACCATAGCAAACGAAACAGGCCGATTAAAATGAAGACTTATCAAGTGAGATGTGGACATTTCAGATAAAACAAAAGGCCTTTCTACATAAAATTAAGTCCTTGAACATGTTGCTTTAAGCTGAGGAGAAAGGAAGGGAAAAAGAAGAGGGAAGTGTGCACAGAGGTAATTATTTTGTTATTCTATGCTATTAAGCAGAATCATTCTATTCTATTCTATTCTATTGCATTCTATTCTGTTCTGTTCTATCCTCTTCTATTCTCTTACGCTTATACTTCAGGATTTACGATTTAACTCATATGTCATATAAATCCACACTCTAATATAATATGCAATTTTATGGTACCAGTTTCTTCATGTAACAAATGTATCAGAACACATTTCCACCAAGACATTGCTACTGTTTTAATATCTCTATTAAAAGGAGCTTACTTTTAATTTTTCCAGCTACATATTTTTCCCATTACTTACTGGAAGTCCAGGAGGACCAGAAAATCCTGGTAATCCAGTTACTCCCTGAAGACAGAAAAGACAAGACACTTTTAAAATGTTCAACCTGCAAACATAAATTTACCATTGCAACAATCTCTTCCTGCAACTGTAATTGGGAATAGCTCAAAATGATTGGAACAACAAACAAACAAAAAAAAGGGGTTTAAGAAAATTTCATAAGTCTCACATTTATAAGACTTTTAAAAAGAGATCATTTTTTTTCTAGCTTTTTACATAGATTCCTAAGCTATAATTTGCACAGAGTAAAGTGCTCCAGTCTCCCGTGGACAGCCTAACAAACGTTTACTTATGTGTACTTTCATATTACCACTGTCCCACCAGACACACTGCGTCTCTGTCACTCCGGAAGCTTCCCTCGTGCCCTTTCTCGGAGTTAACACCTGCCCTTAACGTGGTAATCACGATTTTCACCTCTACCATGACAGATTAGTTTTATTTGTTCTTAAACTTCATCTATAGAACCATACACAATTTTCTCCTTTCTGACATTTTTATAACTCTCATGGTGCAAAGTTGATCCTTTTTTAAAAGAAGAATAGTCACCAAACAATCAGGATGGACTGGACGGACTACTAACCCTTACGCCTTTGGAACCAGTGAGTCCTGGAAGTCCCGGAGAGCCCTAGATCCAAGTGAAAAAAAGAAAAGGTAAACACTGTGAAAATTACTTCGCAGTGAGAAACCTGTACGTTAAAGATCCCAGTCTTATTCACATGTCAAGCTATTTTGTTCTTGTGATTATTTCACTGTTAATAAGGTTCAGGTGCTTGCTTATTTTATTGGAGGTAAAATATTTATCAGAAAAGACAAACAAAAATTCATTCAAACCCTTGCTACTCAAAGTGGGGATTGGGATCTGCAACCCTCGCATCACCTGGAAGCTTGTTAGAAATGCAGAATCTCAGACTTCCCTCACCTCCCAGACCTGTTTTGTTCTAATGAGGCATCGCTTCTGCACATTAAAGTCTGCAAAGTGTTGCTGTAAAAGTCCTACGTTAGCCAGACCGCTGCTGAGGTCTGATAAGCATGAATGACACAATTACAATGGCGGATGGGAATGGCAGCCAATTTTTCTGTGCACGAGAAACACTTTATTAACAAAATGTACCTGACATACACAAGTAAATAAATAGCCAAGTAAATCTGCCCAAACCAGAGATAAACTTGCTTCAGGCACGTAATGAATACAGTTTTGTGGTCGTTTCTTGGAGAATAACCTTACATGGAGACTGTCTTAGCTAGACCGCTTGGTATGAAAGTTCCATTGTCCGAAAGTTATTTTTGTCATTCCAGAGAGTTTCAGCATGTTTTGGTATTTTTGATTATTTGAGTAAAAGGTTGTTACAGAGTCTTCTGAGATTGGACTGTCGAGGTCAAAGTCAGCCTTTTATATCTGAGGTGGAATTCCTGGGTGCATGACCATGTTCAAGGCTGCTCCCCTTCTCTGTAGGATGCTATCTGTGTTATGCAGAAAGCAAATGAATACCTTGAAGGTTTTACTTCCCCATTGTAAACTTGTTCATGTGGAAAACATTTAAAATTAAGATAGGAAGCTTATAAATCTGAAAAATCTTTTTGGTCAGGTTTTAATATCCTCTAATTGTCTGCCTTTGCTCAAATTATCTTTTGTAGCTACATCTATAAGCTATGCTTTATTAGATGACTCTAAGGCAACATGGCACTCAGAGTTTCTGAATTAATCTTGTGGAATACCTGCACGTCATGTAGCCCACACTAAGCACTGTGTGTTTACAACTATTATTTTAAAGTATTGCTGCGTCTCTA